CAGTATTATAGACTCTAGTTCCATCCAGGTTGCTGCGAAATTCATGATTTTGTTCTTTTTTATGGCTGCGTAGTATTCCATCGTGTATATGTACCCTGGAAAGATAGGCTTTTCATTAATGATTTAATGTAGTTTACTTTCCAACCTAGCACTGCATAACATCATATAACAGATAAAGAAATAAAATCAAAGTATTTTATAAGGCTAGAAAGCTGTCTTTTGGGGTTTTGGGGACCCTGGGCACCTTTCAAGACACTTTCTTACTCTCAAGTCTGTCACCTATGAAGCTTCATCTACATACCAAGAAGCCTGACTCCCTTATCATTCCTCAAACTGCCCATTTCCTTTACTACTTTAGAAAGTCCTTAGATAATGCTAGCTGACTACAGTAAGTCCCTTACACACAAACCTTCAAATTGCAAACTTTCAAAGATGCAAAAGTGCATTCACATAAGTTAGTTCTTATATCTGGCATATATTGTCACATGCATGCATCCTCTACAAGTGGTTGCATTTTTGTGTACTTACTGTATAGTACTGTACAGAGTACAGTAGTACCATATCTTTATTTAATGCACAGGATGTCCAGGAGCAAGAATAAAAGTAGCAGAGATGTAGCTGGTAACTTACTGTATAGCCGGTTGTGTTAGTTGGATACCTAGGCTAATTTTGTTGGACTTACAAATGTGTTCTCAGAATAGAATTTGTTCATATGTAGGGGACTTACTGTATTTATCAGGAAATCTTTAAAATCCGCCTACAGCCTGCGGGCCTCCTGCTTAGAGATACTTCGCCTTTCTGGACCAAACCAATATAACTTCTGTCCTCTTAAAATATATATAACCAAGCTATAATTCAACCATAATGGGCACACATTCTCAGGACCTTCTGGGGATGGGTGCCACAGGCCTAAGGTCACTTATATTTGGCTCAGAATAAGCCATCTTAACTATTTTACAGAGTCTGGAATCATTCGTCAACAATACCTGCAACCATTAAAATTTGGAACAAAAAGCTGGTTCTTTAAAAGGATAAGTGAGATTGATGGTCCCTAGCTAGAATGACCAAGAAAAAGAGAGAAAAAGCCAAAATAAGCACAATCAGAAATGTAAAAGATCAAGTCACAACTGACCCCGAAGAAATACAAAAGATTATCAGAGACTACTATGTACACTTATATGGAAACAAACTTGAAAACCTAAAGGAAATGGAGGACTTTCTGACATCACATAAACTCCCCAAGTTGAAACAAGAAGAAATCGAGACCCTAAATAGATCAATAACCATCCAGGAAATTGACTATGTCATAAGAAAACTACAAAAAGCAGCCCTGGTTCAGATGGCTTTCCAGCAGAATTCTATAGAGTATACAAGGAGGAACTGATACCAATCCTACTGAAAGTATTCCAGGCAATCGAGAAACAAGGAACTCTCCCCAAATCAGTTTATGAAGCTAACTTCACATTGATATTCAAACCAGGTAAAGATCCAACAAAGAAAGAGAACTACAGGCCAATATCCTTGATGAACATAGATGCTAAAATTCTCAACAAGATCCTTGCAAATCAGATTCAACAACACATCTCAAAAATTACCCACCACAACCAAGTAGGCTTCATCCCTGGGATGCAGAACTGGTTCAATATTCATAAGATCATAAATGTAATTAAATACATCAACAGATGCAAAAACAAAAACCACATGATTATATCATTAGATGTGGAAAAAGCTTTTGACAAAATCCAGAACCCTTCTTGATTAAAATCCTCAAACATCTAGACATAGATAGAACATACCTCAAAATAGTAAGAGCCATCTACAAGAAGCCTACACCCAGCATACTGCTAAACAGACAGAAATTAGAACAATTTCTCCCTGAAAACCAGAATAAGACAAGGATGCCCACTCTCACCTCTGCTTTACAACATAGTTTTGGAAGTCCTAGCTAGAGCAATCAGACAAGAGAAGGAGATCAGGGGTATCCCAATAGGAAAAGAGAAAGTCAAGTTATCCCTCTTTATAGACGACATGATTCTATACCTCAAAAACCCAAGAGAATCTGTCAAAAACCTCCTTGCACTGATAAAGG